TCCATTAGGTCTACTACCCTTGTCACCTGTTGTAAATACACAGAGTCTAGCTACAAAGGTAGGGTTCAGGAGATTGCAGTTGAGAAGCAGGAGGCTTTTACACCCTCGTCTCACCTTGGATTCTTTTATGCAGAACAGTATTGCATCAGCCACAGAAAACAAACTAATTAAACCGTATTAACATTATAAAATGATATGAGCATAACTGTAACAATACCTTTCAAATGTATCTCTCTATTCAGTGTCCCAGAACCTACAAGACTGCTTTTTAGATTTAGCTAATTGATGGTTGTTAGGATTGTCTGCAATCTTTATTTTAAAATTATTTAATGAAAATACTCGTTTTCCTTTGAAAATGCAGTTCCCTCCTTTAAGATAGCAATGTGAAATTAGAATGGCCAGCCTGAGTAGATTTTAAAATTCTGAAAATTGAGTCAAAAACAAAATGATTTTTCCAGAACCAAAGTGCTGACAGTGATTCAACTCACTTATTTTTTTTTTATTTTTATTTTTTTAAACATTTCTGCCTATTTCCAGTGCCCCAGTAGCACTATATGGAACAGCAAATAATTGTTTTATATAGCAACAGCTACTTTTCCTTAGATATCAAAGGGATAATTACAACCAGGGGACTAAATACAATCAACTGCTGCAATCTTTACCCATTTTTGCGTCAACAGGGCATGGATTGAAGTTGAAAATGACACATTAGCCACTTCCTTACATTTTGCGTTTAGTATTAGAAAGTGTCGTCATCTGTCAGAATTCTGGACAGGTCTAGTGGTTATCTGCTTGACAGTTTCTTTTTCAAGTTGGTACCCCAAAATAGAAATTCTTAAACTGGTTATTTTTTAGGTCATTGAACCCAATTACCACGTTCCTATGGGCACAAGACATTGTGCAGGAGGACCAACAGGAGTGAAACTATTTTGGTTTGAGAATACTGCATGGGAACTACAAGTTCTGGAGTTTGTCTTCAGTCTGCAGGGACAAAGCTATATAGCTTGCTATTTTTGGCCAATCTCTGACCAGTTACAATTCCTAAAATATTTTCAACCTTTTTTTTTTTGGGGGGGGGGGGGGGGGGGGCAGCGGCTTTGAATTACATTTTTTTTTGCTCTATCCTTATACCTGGCTTAAGCTATTAACTTCTGCTAGCATGCACAAACTACTCTACAGTTCAAACAACATTATGCATTAAGGCACATGTTAGAAGTGTTAATTTAAGACAAGGCCTCACCTGGTCCTTGGTTTAGTGTCACTCTCACATTTTCTGTTCATCTGTTTGCTTTTTCTCCAGCTGGCTCTTTCAGCGTTCTTTTGCTTTGAGACTTTCATCTCTGCTTCTGGATGACTGCCATCCTTTCCTAAAGCCAGCCTTAACAGAGTGGTGGCTTTTCTGTCTTGTTGGCATTTTGTTTGTTTTTTCTTTAAAGTTCTCAGCCTTCTTTCAACTAGGACATTGAATTAAAAACCCTGGGAAGGGGGAAGGAAACTGTAACTGTTCCAGTGAAAGTGACTCAACAAAACCTAAATCTGAATGTGTGTATAATGCAGTTCACCATGGTACCATCCACAAAATCAGCAGCTTTTTCCATAAGCCCTGCAGACCCTCCACCACAAAGAAGTACGCCAGCTCCACCCACAGCACTGTGGGCAGCAGTCTCAACCTGCAGGCAGCTCATGGCTTTCAGCCCCTCAAACTGCAGCTTCCACTTCAGATACTTCCTTCCCAGCCAAATACTTTACCTCTCCAGATCAGCTTGGCTTGCTGCACCACTTTCCCGGGGTCTTCTCCTCCAAACCTTCTGGCCTAAGACCACCACCCACACCTGGCCCTTCCCTCTGCTACCGGTCTCAGACCTATTCAGAACCAGCCTCTCCCACACACCCACTTTCTGGGCAACCCACCTATTTCCAACCTTAGATTTGCTGTTACATGTCACATGCTACCTGTCCTTCGATGTCAGGCACATTCCTCTGGTAGCATATGCGCACATGGGGAGATACAGAAGGGCACAGCCTCATAACTATTTTGGAAAAAGCCACAGAGGCTTAGAAAAGCAGTAGTCACATATGTTTATTACTGGTAGAGAAGGGGGTAACTCACCCTGCATTGGGTGGGTTACAGAGACAGAACATGTCGAGCCTTCCCTAATCTGTTTCACTGAAAAGTGGGACCACTCACTTTAAAGCACTGTAGCAGCAACTTCAGCAGGGCCAACTTGCTTGGTGCCGAGGCGGAAAAGGGGCATTAGCACGGTCTGTTTTTGTAGCCATCAGCATGGAGGCTGCAAAATACTTCAGATCAATTACTTCAAACATAGCAGCTGTTTCCAAAATGACCATGTAACTCATAAGTCACAAGTATCCTAAACCTTCCAGATAGATCCCCTGGAAAACATTCAAGGAACTGAGATGCGCTTGAGAGCTTGCTGTCTAAATGCACCACTCGGCTGTGCCTTCCTTAGAGACCCCTGGAGCATGAATTCCATCTTTCTAGAAGGAATTTCTCAGACTGCTTCTAGATCATAGTATTGCTATGTTTGAGATGGATGTCATAATACGAAGTGTTACAACTGCAAGCTGATGTTCTCAATAAAGGGAATGATACAGACACAAGTATTATCCTTACACACTGCATGGATGGCAGGGCTTACAATCCTTGCACTATCTACAACTACATTTATGCTGTGTCAATTATTTTTACATGACAGAGATAGCATTTAGCACCAAAAAAAAAAAAAAAGGAAAGGAAAGAGGATCATTTCAAGCTCTTCAGTTTTCTCCATGCAGGCAAGCTAGTTCCTGTATTATTATCTCCACATATCAAGAAAAAGCGGAAGTTTAGAAAAAGTACATTGTCTCTTGAAGCCACTGCATCCCCAGACACATGTTCTAGATCATTTTTCTGCCTCTGCCCCCTGTGCACCTCATGGTAGGCACTGTGAAAGAGAAGCTGGAAGCAATGGTGTAACAACAGCCCATCTGTAGTGAATTATTTATTATATAAATACCTGTATATTTATTTACTATACAAATACCTAGGCTTCTAGGGTAAAGTCAACCTGAGTTCTGGGGAGAATTTTAGAATAAAAATTGGCAAACTCCGTAGCATAATACATCACAGAAAACATACATAAAAAGATTTAAAAAACCTGAAATAACGTGTTTACAGAATTACATATAGCAAAACACAGATACTAGTGACCTCACTACATGAATATTCAACATCTCACTCTTTTGGAAAGCCCTAAGGACAGAAATAATACTCATTAAAAATGTACACCATAATTACATAACACTTGATAAATTATACACGAGTCTTAGAATTCAGTCTGTTCAGTTCTCAAAAGTTCAGATCAGTCACCCAGATCTAGACCCAGCTGCTTATTAAAAGAAATATCAGTCATTATCAATTTATGTTTCATGCATCTTATTAACTGGGATGGTTAAACCAAACTTCAGCTAGCGTTACTGCTAGATTAGTGTAAAACAGTAATTATATCAAAATCAAGTCTCAGGTTAATTTCAATTATTTATTGGCGTTAAATAAAAAAAAAAAAAGTCAACACAAACTCCAAAAAGTCAGCTACTCATTTGTTTTTTACTTCTATCTAAATAATTCTACCAGTATATATCAAAATCTGTTACTGAATCTGTTAAATACTGTAAAACTGAAGCTGCATTATCCAATATCCAATATATAAACCAGAATGGCAAAGCTTCCTCTTAAAGTCCATATATAGACAGAATGCTCTTTCTGTCTTACAGATAATATGTTAGGGATAAATAGACCATAAATGTCATTGTTACTTACAAGAACTAAGTGTTGCAAAACTTTTAAACAGACAACACACCCGAGAAAAACTGAGATGTAAACTGAGTATACCATTTGTAGTGCTTTTGCCATCTTAAATTCAGGAACATGCAAAATATTCTTTTACATATATATATGTATATACACACACCTATACACACACACACACACACATGATCACCAGTAGATAGAATTGTATGAAAAGGAGCTGTTTGGTGGTTTGTTTGGTTTCTTTTTGAACACAGGGCTTCTCATGCGCATGCCTCATAGCAGGGAGGTACAGCACAGGCCGGCCAAAGGCTGCAACAATTTGTTTATAGATACGGCAACTTCCCTATCTCAGCCTTATTTTAGCATGCTTGAATATATATCTTCCTCCCTGTGTCTAGCCAACCGCAGCCCCATGTTTTTTTTGGCATATCAATGAATCTTTTAATAATGAATTTAATTCACCCCATAG